GCCTGCCTGCCTGCCTGCCTGCCTGCCTGCTTGCTTGCCTGCCTCCCTCGGGGTCTTATTCAAACCGGCCCTTCAGGATGACGCTGCAAGCGGGAATGGCTGCGCACGCAGCTCCGGAAAGGGCACCGCCTCCTTCTTGGCCGCACTGTTGGAGGTCCTACTAGGAAGGAAGCGGGGCTTAAGGCTGTTCGGCTGCGTTGTGCTTGAGACGGAGGTTTCTCCCGCCCGGTTTTTTCATCTGCCCTGTCGGCCTTTCCTTCGCTGAGCTCCGCAACCCGGGTTCCGGCTTCCGGGGCCACTAAGGCAGGACAGGAGACTTGAGTTTAGTCTAGCGGAAGGAGTGGTGGAAATAAAGGAGCTGATCACGCTGTAAAAATAGTGATGTATCGCGTCGTTCACAACCTGGCTGGGAATGATGGGAATTGAAAGGCAACACCTCTGGGAAACAGCAAATTCATGGAATCATAGGGTTGGAAGAGACCTTGGAGGTCTTCTAGTCCAACCAAATTTAAAAAGGCTGCATTGTTATTAATATAGTCACACGAATTCTAAATTAACTTAGAATCTAACTTCAAACTGTCCCTCGTTGGCATTACCCAACACATGGAAAACATAAAACGTCAATGGATCCTATGTAATTTTTTCTGCGTATCTAAGCAGTCCCGCAAACTTCACTAATTACAATAAATTACAATTAAGCAAGTGTTTTATAATATTTTATAGCGATCATAGCACAGCATGAACTACATAACAGAACATAGCAACATGCTGAGTTATCTTCGTAAATCTGATGTTTTATGACAGTGGATTATGTGATTTAGTTTTTTGTCCTAGGTCACCAGATCTGGATTACAATGCAAAATAGCATTTTGGCTCTCCGGCGTCCCGGTAGACTTTGGCAATCATATTTCAGAGCTAATTTAGAAAATGCTTTTTACGAACCATTTGAATTCAATGAAAGTGTATTCCCAGTGATTTGCAAATTTCAGCTACCTCTGCCTGTCAGCAATGAGAACTCTGTTGAAGTAAAATGCTTGCAGTTAAATGCATTAAAAAGCAGCATTCTGTTAATTCAAATAGGTATAGTCAAAATTGAAATGTGTCAATTACTTTTAGAAACCATATTTTAAGTGGACCATCTATTGTAGATATATCTTCTCTGTGGTGCTCAATGATATGATCACAGACCAATGCTACTAGAGTTAACATTTAATAAAGGACAGCAGCAGAAAATCTCCCAAAGGAACTATATAAATGACAGCCTAACCCTATTCATAATTAGGAGTTGAAGATTCATTTCCAGTGTCCAGTATAGGAATAAAGGATCAGTGCTTGCTGATACTTTAAAAGGCTTTAGATTTCAATAGAATATAGATATACTGTATATGGATAATGGCAACCAGTCTCTTTAACTCAGACTAATGACTTAGATTGTAATGTTCCCACTCACATCTGCACTCTTCTTTCAGTCCTCCCCAAATACAAACCAGGTTTCTTCTCTTCCCAATGTGAAGTGCTTTACAGGAAAAAAATGTATCAACATTTTTATATTGCTAGTGCAATATAAGCCTAAGCAAATCCTTTTAAAGGTTGTTGAATGCAACTTTTTTTTTAAGAATGTTCTTAAACACCTCTGTTCCAACTATGTCCTAGCTGGCCAATTTAGATTCCCACTCCTTCTCCCCAGCCCACTGCAGAATTACCACTTAAAACATTCAACAGCCTGTAGTTATCGCCTTCGAATAAAACTGAGTATTTATTTATTTACACTTGGTTTTTAATTGTTTTTGATGCCCATTATGTTTTTTTTTTAACAAGCTAAAATGTTAGTGTTATAAAAATGTGATACTGGATATTGGTTTTTTTCCCCCACTATTAAAAGCTCACTTCTGAAACAGCCATGGAACACTAAAACAACTTCTTGGCAATTCAAAGACTCATTGGTTTATTGCAGCATAATGTTTTACAGGCAACAGCTACTCCAAATGATTCATGAAATGGATTTATATGGTGCCAAATATATACATATGGGTTGAGGAATACCAAAGAACCAACCAGCAAAATGAAAACTTAACAGTACTAGAAATACAGAACCTGATACATTATATAGTTGAAATTGTAGCATTAAAACACATAATATACTGACACTGCAGGGAGGTGCCTGACATCAAATTCACAACTAGGCATGACTAGATTTTTACAATTACACACCACAGGAATGAATTCTTGAACATTACAAAATAGCCCCTGGAGATTAAACAATTGGGTACCCTAAATTTTGGGCTTAGGCATAATTCTCCAGAATGCATGGCAACATTTCATAGCAGGACCAGTATTGTTCTGCATCAGTATACCTCTCCCTATCATATACAATTCTATGCCAGTTTTGGTGTTAAGCTACTATTTGGATATGTACTTTTTAGGCTATTTCTATCTTCCTCCTAGGCATCCCTCATCCCATTTATCAAAATTGTTAATAGTGGCAAGAAAATTGTAAATTGCACATTTACAGGTAATGTTTATACCTATTTGTAAAACCCCCCCCCAAACCTATTAACTCCTATTTGTCTTCATGGAGTTTTTTTTTTTTAAAAAAAACCCTCAATTTTAATTAGGATAAAATAAAAGCAAGATTGAAATGGGTTGTTCTGAACCTCACTAGAATCATTCTGCCATTATTCTGACAAAATTTTTCCAACTCAAAATGGTGCCATTTAGAGGTCAGAACTCTTCAACAACAGTTGGAACATCTATTTTCAATTTGGAATACTGTAGAGCATTTCAAGCTCAAACCATTTCAAATTCCATACATTTTCACCCTATAAATTCTGTAACCATATCCTTGGTTAACCATCTTCTCAGTTTCAAGATAGTTTCTGTCTTCACTATAGACAAATCAGCCCATCTTACCATAATCACTCTGTCAATCTTTCCAAGCTCTGAATCAGTTACAAAACTTGTTCTCCACCTGTCAGTCCCATCTTTTTGGCTGTATACCATCTGGTATCTCAAGCACATGGATCCTCCTTTGTTCCTTCTTTCCACTTGCTGATCTTTGTGCCTTCTATCATGCTACTTGTCAGTCATCCCACAGTCTTTCGTCTTCCTATCTCAAACACTCTGTCCTCTTTTCTCAGACCACTTTGACAAAATCAAACTCCTCTGGCCTTCTTTAGATTTCTTTTCTGCATCCTAAAGTCTCTTAACTTTTCAGTATTCATTGTCAATCTTCACTGATCAACTCTATCACTTATCTAAGCTTTGCTAGAGTCCACAATATTTGTGTATAGCGATAGAGCATTATCACTGATTTCCAGAGTGCAGAAATCAACTTGACATATTTTTATTAACAACCATGATTCATGCATAAATTAAAATACATGTAAATATAATAGTTTAAGAGCTGTGTACCTGGTATAATCCTTCTGATGGAAATCATTATGCGCTTAGTTAAATGGGATTTAACAATTTATGTTATCAAAACAAGTTCTTTAATATCCTATGAGATTTCTACTACTTTACCCTGTATTAAAATGTATTATGACATTATAAAAATTTAATTTTTAAAAAATTATCAAGTTGCATCAGATTTAAATATGCTGACAGTTGGTCATCTGAAAGTATAACAGTTTCCAAAACTTCCTAGGAAGTGTATTCTGGAGAAAAATACCAGAGTCATTTTCAAAATAATTATTTCATAAATTAGTTTTATTTTGTATTAAATGAGCACGAGTCATTACCATTTTATTAACAGATATGCTTATTACATATCTATTGCTGAGGCTTTCAACACCACTTGAAACATGCAAATCGTCATGGAGACGAATCATTTTTCCAGTGCTTCTTATTTAATACATAACTGCAAAGCCATTATAAATTACTAAAGAGGTATTTGGTTAAGAAATAAAATAAATCATACGGTTAATACCATAATAATATTCCTGCTACAAGACAAGAATTTAAAAGTATTCAACTCCTGTATTACCTGGAATTTTAAAATGTTACAGAGGTTTAATTTGTTTTCATGGTACAAACATTTATTAATATTTTTATTATGATTAAATTATTTCTTGGTAACCGACAGTTTTATTCAAGATTGTACAAGTGAAAATGGAAGTAGATCCTACAATAATTCAATCAAAACCAATGACACACAGTAATATGTATTTGAGATTTCTAAACTTATTTGACACAGGAGGAAAAGAGTTCTCAGAATAAGGCACTAAAAGGGCAACATCCAATAAAAGTGTTCTAACAATAATTTACATTTTAAACAGAGCATACATATGCATGTGTGTGTGTATGCTTGCTGTAATTCACACTTCAAATTGTTAATGAAACATGTTACACAATTTATGGAACAACTATGTACCAAAATACACTTCCAAATTTGGTTGTTTTAACAGTAACTTCTAATGCCACTTGAAAAACAATTCTGTATGGCTTGGCAATAATGCATAGATTACCTTAATTACTCATTTTCTCCTCCTTTACCAATATGTGAAGTTAATATTTTGTAAAGCAAAATGTGTAATATTTTGAGCTATCTCATGAATGATTAGCATTAATAACAATGCAGAAAAGGCACTGAAGTTCAAGTGATTATATAAGGCTTTGTTTTCAAGCAAATTTTGCTGCTTTCTTCAGCACAACTTCGAGTCTTCAATGAAAATTTCAGCTTCTCTCAGTTTGAGATACCTTCTTTCTATACTCGTCTGTGTGCTTATCCCAATATAAATACCCCTCTCATAGGGTAAATAGTTCTCTCATTCTCACTGATATGAGAAAAGCTTACCATATTCCATTAAGATTGACAAGCATTATTTTTTAGGAATTTCCAAAGGCAGCACTAACCCTAAGCTTTATTTGCTTTTATTTGCATTACATAGTAATAATTAATCTAATCTACCTTAAGGCAAACCCGCAATAAGATACCCTCAGCGAGCTTTTTATGCCAAAGCAAGGAGGAGTGAGTAATAGCAGTCTTAGCCCTGAAGCTTGTGAAAGTTGTATCGGAAAGAACAACCGGTCGGAACACCTCTGTATGGTGAAAAAAGCCCACCATTCTCAGACTGCACCATGTCAGATCCATGAAGCTTGCATATATTGTTAACTGGAATAAACAAGACAGACAAAAAACAAACAGAATTACAACTGTTTTTATCATTTCATATTACATTATAGAGTTAAGAAAACAACAACATTTTTATCTTTTAAACTAGAGAATCTACAGCAATATTTGTAAAATATTCATGTTTGGAAAACCAGAATCCCTTCATACTTCATGTATTTCCTTAATAATTATGAGCGCTAGCCAGCTTGCATGAACTTCGTGCTCCCCTCACTTCTTGTTCATTGTTTAAGTTTAATATACTAAAGAACTGGTGATGGACTTATCTAATAAAATAGTTGATAAAGGAGTGACACACCCTAATAACTAAACTAAATTACCAAATATTTAAGATGAAACTTTCAAACATCTATTCCCATGAACTTATCAAAACAGGAAGAAGCAGTTGTTTCAGATTTTTATTATTTTTGCTGATCTGTGATTTTCTAAAACAAAACACCCTTTTAAATCCAGTTTCTAAAGCACTTCATTGTGGTTATATTCCAAAATACTTCCTCCAACTACAGCATGGTGGCAGTTCTCAATAGACAAATTTAAAAAGTAGTAATTGTCCCACAAGGTACTCCAGACTAGAAAAATATGTTCCTCTTTCTCAAATTCATGTTAAAGTGTTTTCATTATTGTGCAGATGTCCCTACTTTCAATTTTCCATATTAAAATTACCAGAAACCTACGAAAAATATCTTGTACAATTTTGACCCCTAGTATACCATGCAAAGGTGTTTACTTTTCAGAATTTAAATAAGATTATTTTGTATTTCTCTTACAATGTAGAGAACATTATAGGTTCTTCATTATACAAGAATACCCAGCATTTATAAATAATTCAGAATAACAAAGGAAAGTTAACGTTATTCTAGACAGAACTGGGAAGAGAAAGGGGGCAAGACCGACCGAAAAGAGAATGACTTTCTTAGGAAAAATTAATAAATTCATCCCTAATGTAATATTTACATTAAGTATTAATGGCTGGATGTATAGTTCAGTTATGACACAAATTTACAGTATTAGATTTTAAGACCAGGAAGACAGTACAAAACTTTGAATAAAATTGGAAGGCCTGCCTCAATGAGTTTGCATCCTATTCTGTACTAACTGGAGTATCTGGACAATTTTTAAAGATAAGTAATGTCTGAGTAGGAAAATATCTGAAAGCGCGTATGTAAAATGCTCTAATCTTCCTGAGAAAAAAGGAAGAAACAAGACCAACATTCAAATTACAAATGATATAATATTACTGATTTTTCTGTTCTATCCAAAAACTATGAAGTTGGCATAATCAAAATTACTGTGATCAACTTGGAATATTTTTTTGAACTCTATCTTACTTACCCATGAAATGTGTTTGGTTTTAAGCAATGCCCTAAAAATGTTGATCAGAATTAAAATGGATTTTTCTAAGGTTAGATGGAGTTGTGGATAACAAAGATACATTCACCATAAAATAGAGAACCAGTAAAAAGTACAAAAGAGAAATGTACTTTTCACAAGATAGGATTCCATCACCATGGCATGTTCTGCATAGTAGAACTAAGATTGTTTTGAAGATATACATACTGTTCTGTTACAAACAGTATCAAGAAGTGAACAGTGTAGCATAACAAAGATTTTGAGCAAATGATATATAAGGACCAAGGGAAGCAAAAGTAATAGATTTCTTAAAAAAAACATACACAATCCAAGAGTTTGAGAAATTGGGGTTTTTTTTTTTACTTTGAGAAAGTTCCTTTTTCATTATTTGAAGAAAGCAATTTTGCTTTCTTACTGTTGTTACATGACACAAGTACCAGTGGGTTTAAAAGCAAAAGCTACTCACCAGTAACTTGAGTTCTCTGAATGAGTAATGTCCCCCACAGATCCATATTCCTTTGACCTATTGAAATTTAGAAATTAAGATTTCACGATAATTGCCATACGCCCTGAGTGCTAACTGTACACTCTGTGAAAAAAATGGTGGTCTAGGAGAAGTGATCTGAATGTTGATACAGAATAAAATGGAAGACCAAATCCAAAATATGAATTCATGAGCAGTGGGGATAACAAAAGAAAGAGGAGGAGAAACAACAACAAATGAATTGTTTTGGCAAAGTGAAGAAAATCTCTCTCTCTTTCTCTCTCTCTCTTAGATTGAAGTTTTAGGTTTTTTAAATAATGCAAAAGCAGATTGTTTTAAGAGATCAAAATTTTAAAATGCTTAGGAATTAAACAATGAGATTTACAGATGAAAGAGCTAAGAATATATATGAATTGCTCCCTAAGAATCTTGTTAGATCTTGTTAGTAAGTTTTGTTTTTTTAGAAAAGTATAGATGATTTTCTCTTCGAGGCGTATTGTACTATATAATGACTATATGAATATATATACTGTAACAAAAGTGTGTCATATACAGATGTTTTCTGCTGTTTTTCCATATTTATTTTATAGTAACTAAAAACTAATTGGGTGAAAGTGAAAACTATCTGAAATAAAAAGATTACTGCCCATAACTAAAATCGATACTGATCCAGAAGGCCAAATACAAAACTAGTATTTTACCAAATTCTAATTCATTTTATTTCTACCCTAACACTCCACTATTCAATGAGGCCTAAAATATCATAAAATAGTAATAAAATTGCAAAATCAGAAATATTAAAATCCAACATCATACTGTAAACTTGACTTCTCTCACAGCTCACTATATTTAATACAGTGAACAGCAACAACTAAATCACTCTAGAGGCCTCATTTTTAATATACAATCTTCTGCCCAGTCTTTCTAGCTTTTGTAAATCTTAGGCTCTGTAACCATACATATAAATTAAATGGCTCCAATAAAATTCAATACAAGAACAAGCACTAAAGAGTAGAATCAGAGAATTTTTGTTTATACTAACTGGTTAATTATTTTATTTTAACATATATTTCACATTATCCAAATAGTTAAATATTTGCCAAGCCAATAGATATATACCCTCAACTTAGAACATTTGGGAGAAATGCAGTTTTCATATGGATTTCCACCTATTCTACTTATTTTCGCCACACTCAGAACTTTATTTATGCATAACAAGCTAGATTATCTCAAGTGATATAGCACCCTGTAAGAAGGAAGATCATGTATATGATTAGATAGGTAATCCCAGTAAAAACACTGCCTAATAGCAGGTGGAAAATGCTGAGGATGCTGCAAAATACAAAAAAGAATCAGAATTAAAGGTAGTAATAATGCTTTTAGTAAGCAAAACATTTGGCCTAAGTATTAGTTATTTCAGTTGTTCTATATTTTAAGAGGTTACTTTTTAAAAAAAATATCAGTGTGATCATCTGTGAATAGCCCTGTTCCCTGACAATTAACATCAATAATAAACACAGGAAGCTACAATATTAAATCTCAAGAATGGTACAGAAATTACATCTGGAGAAAGTGTAATTGAATACTGTATGCACTAATGACTTAGAACTAAATAATACTGAATAAAGTAAATGCCACTGTGTTAGAAGAAAGATGCTGAGAAACTTAGCCATTAACACAACCTTCACAATGAAATAAAACTAATATTGTATGACTTCTGCAATTTCAGAAGCAATATTACAAGAATCATACTGTAGTTGAATAAGAACTGCACAATGTGCAAGTGAAGCAGAAAGAATGATGGAAGAGATGGAATAAAAGTGGAATTATGCAAAAGAAAAGCACTTTTAAAAGATGATTATCTTTTCTTGTGTTATTGTAAAAGCAGAGATGATGCTTCAAAGGAACTAAAAGTATTACAGTAAGAATAATTAGTAGCAGAGTAGCTTTGCTGTCTGAGCTGCTAGGTTTGCAGTGGAGATCCTCAGACTTATGGTCCTTCAAGACTTAAATTTGCCTTCCCTGGGTATGAATGCAGAGCTGGTTTGGGAGCTTATGGCCACTATGGTAACCATGGACCTTATCCAGATTAATGCAGGCCCAACACAGTAATGATGTGATTTGGAGGTGGAGAATGTTAACATCAGTCTCTTGTCATGGTATGGTTGCCTTAGAGTTCTCTACATATGCTCCCTGCCAGAGGAAGAACAACCTATGGGACTGTTCTGCCCTAGGAACCTGAATTTCAGAGGGATGCACAGTTTGACTGAGGCCTTAGTCACTGCTTGAAATTAGAGGGTGACAAAGAAATGAGAGGGTTACTCTCCCTACCTGTGGATTCTGGGGAACCCCTTGGATTTCAGAGGAAGTCTGGGAGATAAAATGACAGAAGAGATGCTTAGAGCATCACTTCAGGAAGATGAAGAGTGAATCTAATCAAAAGTGGGTAAGAGCCTTTATTAAGGATTACCTTATGCCAGTAAGAACAGCAACACATAATTATTTTTCCACCCCTATCCTGTCTGCAGATAGTTGGCTGGTGGCCCTGTTCAAGGTGACCTAGGACCTCCTGAGAAGGGGGTGCGAGAGGAACATCAGCAGGGCCATTGTGAAGTCTATTCAAAGTATATGTTGGATAAAATTTCTTGGATGCACTCTGAACTAGAGTCCAACTATACAGATCCTATGGAGTTGGTTGACTGTGGCACAATCTATCTTAGTTATCTGGGAAGAAACTGAGGCTGTTAGACATAAGGAAGTTGACAGGGTTCTTGGGGCTGTAAATGTGGCCATCTTTGTATCAGATTCATGTCCCTCCTGACTAGTCAAGGCCTTCTGGGAGAGATATGATTGGATCCATGTGGTGGTAAACTCATCCTTGCATGACAAGGTGATCCTGTCAGCACTTGAAGAGATGGTGGACCACCCCCTTCTCAAGAAGCTGTTGCTGGATCCAATGGTGCTGGACAATGTTTGTTTTGTCTCCAACAAAGGTTGTAGTTGAGAAGATGGTCGGTTGCAGCTTCAGAGGGCCTGAACGAAACAGATTATCTGGAGCCTTCTCAATTGGGTTTTGGACCCAGGTATAGTATCAATACAGTACTGATGACATTTACTGATGATTTCTGGTGGGGTTGGGATGGGGATGGTGAATCACGGCCTTTCTTGATCAGCAACCTTCAATACCAACTACCATGGTATCCTTCTGGATAGGTTTAGGGGGTTTGGAATGAGAATCATCGTATTGTAGTGGTTCTCTTCCTTCCTCTAAGGCCAATTCCTGTTGGTTGTGGTGGAGGAGATATCCACCCTTAACCCCCTGCTTTCCGTATTTCCTCAGGGTTCTACTCTCCACCACATCTATTTAACATCAACTCAGTGAAGTCATCCATCAGCATGAGGGTAAGTATCATCAAAGTGCTGATGATAATCAGCTATACATCTCTACTCCTGGCCAATTAAGTAATACGATCAAGGTTCTCTCTTAGTGTCTAGAGGCTGTGTGAGAATAGGCTTCAGCTTATGCATCAAAAGCTTGAGGAGCAGGTGGCAGTAATGGTCAGGAGAGCCTTTGCACATCTTGTATACAAACTGTGCTCATTCCTGGATCAGGAAGCCCTGCTCATGGTTACTCATGCCTCAGTCATCTCCTGTTTGGACTATTGCAACAAGAGATTGCCCTCGAAAAACCACTCAGAAGCTACAAATGGTCCAGAATGGACCAGTGGTTCAGGTAGTTACATGTGTGCCAGTGGACAATCATGTAATACCACTGGTTTGCAAGCTGTATGGGCTTCTGGGTGCAATTCGAGCTGATGGCTATCACCTTATCATATATAAAGCCCTTAATGGGTCATTACAGGTTATTTGTGAGACTGCCTATTTACAATTATGCTGCCCATCCCACAAATCTGATAAGATGGGCATGTTCCAGGTTCCTTCTATTAAAAAACATCAGTTATAGGACCTAGGGGATGTGCCTTCTGTAGCATGGTTTTTGGTGGCTTTTAAATGGTTGTTTTAACCTGATGTTAGCCACCCAGGGTTGCACTGTACAAGAAGCGTGGCCACACAAGATGAATGAGTGAATGAAGGAACATTTATCTCAGTTCACATAATTCATAGGGCATCCATTTAAGGTAAAAGTTATTTATAAATAGAAATAATAATTTAAACTCTATATTACATACATATACATATACATATATATTGCTAAAAGCATACTAAGACTGGGTTTGCATGCTGTATATTATTTCTTTGCATAAAGCCATTATTTGTTTTAACATGGATTTTTAAATAAGTGAGAATTGCCCCAAGCTCTAATTTACAACCCACAATGTCTGGTTTCACATAACACAAAACAGTATTTTATATGAAAATCTAGTCAAAAAGTAGTTTTCTATTAGGAAAAAGATTAAAATGTAGTCTGTTCATATCTCACCTAGCTTTTCCAGAAGTATTTTTAACTTTCCTGAATGACTGATTTGCTGTAGATCTTGTGGAAAGAGTCCTGGGTGAAGCACGAACAAAACTAGATGGAGGTGTTTTGGGGATCTTCTTTATTAAATGAGAAACCCATTTCTTCTGATCCTCCTGACAGGGTGCCAACAGCAACATATCTCTTGCTGAAGTTATGTCATAACTTACTATTGAGAAGAAAACAAACAGAGCCAAACTGTTTGAGAACAAAGAATGCATAGCCCCCCATTTTGTTTGCAAGTTATTATTATTATTATTATTATTATCATCATCACCATCTGCTTTTCCTTCCAATGGGAGCCTGGAGTGATGCACAGAAAGAGCATTTAAAATATACAGAATATAAAAGACAATGCAAATTATTTCTTTAAAAAGCTCACTGACCTTCACTAACAGTCTGGTGCTGAGTGTATGATCATGCAAGCTTAAGATTCATCTGAGAGCCTTACCCACATATTGTTCTGAGGAAGCACTTGAGAACAATTATACTAAAATCAAGATCTTAATTTTTGCACAGCATCCTAGAGTCCCTCCTGATAATGAAATGATCAGACAATAGAGCAAGTTATAATCTTTAAATATTTCAGTGTAGTTTTTCGTAAGTCCACCAAACGCAGGGCACATCAAAAGTATGCAAAGATCAGCGTAGCAATACAATCCTTTCGCTATTCCAGAGGGGCACAGCATATTCTAGAAGTGCTAAAGTTACATTTTGGTTACAGCTCATGTGCAACTTTTGTCTGGAGCTCACTGGAACCATACAGGTTCTCTGCGCCTCTGGAAAGGGACCAGTCTAATTCCTAAGGAATATATTCCAACTGACCTGATAGGTTCCTAATGTGGTACAAAAGAGGGAAGCTGCTCAGACTAAAGTGGAGCAGGCACATGGATATGTATTATTGTCCACTGGCTAAAATGCTTTTTTTCTAGAAGGCCTTGATTCTCTGATTATGGATAATTATGAGTTGACACTGTATAGATCATCTTTGCAAAAAGCTGCAACAGTATCAATTTTCAAAAAGTTATTTTGATGATGGACCAAAGTCAAGTTGTCTCAGCTGTGTAGATGTAGTTTTATGTTTTATTTTATTTCATTTGAAAGATGAAGTATATATGTTAATCTGCAGAATTCTGGTCAATGACCATACTAATGAACCAACTAACTAGAATTCAAAATAGGCTTTAGCATTCAGCATAAAATATTGGGCTGCTGAAGGTGAAAAGGCCCAACTCCTATATAAACTTTTTATTCCACAATAATTGTTTGTTTCTCTATTTGGAATTATACTGAACCATATTCACTTGTAAGTATATTTAGGATAGCACCCTTAATGGCTATAATTCAACTTTTAATGCATATTCCAAATCTGCACATATTTGTTCCTGAGATGATTGTTCCTTTGATTTTACAAATACAAACTGTTCTCATCAAAACAGTAAAAACTGGGTTGGATTCAAACTAACAGTACACTGCAACATATGCTTGCTTCACAAATTTAAGTCTATCTGAGCTCAATTAGATTTATTCTCATATATGTATAAATTGGACTCCAGCCAAATTAGACAAATTAATCAGGATTTAGATGAACAGATTTCAACAGAAACTTCATTTAACTTACCCGGTATCCAAACTGTTAGAACACACTGAACAATATTTAAAAACAAACAAACTATGCCATACCTTTACATGGTGCTATTAATTCTTCTTTTTTATCCAAGTGATCTTTATGGCACTTAACATGGCATCGGCGACATTCCACTGCAGGGGGTGGCTTAAATACATGCCAGAGAGGCTTGGCACAAGCCTCACAATTGGCTGGAAAATGGTATAAAGTTGGGACAAATTCATGACCTTTATGATGCAGAAAATTTGTCTTCTCTGCTGGCTGTACTGATTCTACTTCCAAATCTTTTCTACACTCCCCCTCATTGGCATATAGAATCTGAGCAAAGCAAAACAAAACAAAAAAGTTTAAAAGTTTGTGTCAGTCCCTGTGTATATAAATACATATTAACCAGGTGAACAAACTGTATAAATTATGAATATTTAAAAACAAATATACAAAAGTTTTTACCTGAAATATTTTGGGTATTTCTTCAGTTTCTGCTCTATAAACATCCCCTTGTGTAACTGGTCTAACATGGAACAATTTACTGAAATAAAATTATTATTACATTGTGTTAATAGCCATTCTTGGTACAAGGCAAATTTATCATTCTAAAATAAAATGCTGAATATTTCATATTAATATTTCATATTAATATATGGGGGGCCTAGTGGCTCATTTACAGGGCTGCACAGAGGAGTTTTCTGGGCTTCTGGAGGATAAAATCGCTTGCATTCAGTTCCAGTTGGATGCCAAGCGTGGGGCATGGTCTGTAGAGATGGCCAGGGTACGGACTTACCCTGTTATCAGGGATTGATTTGATCCTGTTGGACCCAAGGAAGTGGACAGGGTCCTCTGGATGGTCAATGCCACCAACTGTCAACTAGATCCATGCCCCTCCTGGCTGGTTAAGGCTACTCAGGAGGTGACATGTGGGGGGGTCCAGGCAATGGTGAATTCATCCTTGAGGGAGGGAGTTTCCCAGCCACCTTTAAAAAGGCACTGGTGCATCCCCTCCTCAAGAAACCATGACTGGATCCCACCATATTGGACAATTTTCGTCCAGTCTCCCACCTCCCCTTTTTAGGGAAGGTGGCTGAGAAGGTGATGGCATTGCAGCTCCAGAGATCCTGGAGGAAATGGATTATCTGGACCCGTCTCCATCACGATTTGGGACAGAAACTGCATTGGTCGCACTCATGGATGATCCCTGGCAGGAGCAGGATGGGGGTAGTGCATCCATCCTTGCTCTTCTTGACCTCTCAGCAGCTTTTGTCCATGGTATCCTTTTGGGTCGACTTGGGAGTTGGGAGTGGGCAGCAGAGTTTTGTGCTGGTTCTCTTCCTACCTCCAAGATCGATCCCAATTGGTGTTGATTGGGAGTGAGAGATCCAGCCTGCAGCCCCTCCATTGTGAGGTGCCACAGGGTTCAGTACTCTCTCCACTCCTCTTTTAACATCTACATGAAACCATGGGGTGAGATCATCCATTACCATGAGATGAGGTATCATCAATATGTAGATGATTCCGAGTTTTACATCATCCTGGGTGACCTGAGTGATGCTGTGACCACCCTTTTGCGGTGCCTGGACACTGTGGGGGTCTGGATGGGGTGCAACAGGCTTCAGCTGAACCCTAGTAAGATGCAGTAGCTGTGGATTGGAGGCCCCTCTGCATCCAGGAATTTATCATATTTGGTTTTGGACAGGGTTGCACTGCCCCAGACAGACCGGGTGTGTAATCTGAGGGTCCTCCTGGACTCACAACTCCTGCTCGAGGAGCAGGTGGCATTCGTGGCCAGGAGGGCCTTCGCCCACCTTTGTGTGGTGCGCCAGTTACGCTCCTTCCTGGATCAGAAGGCTGTCCAGTCAGTCACTCATGCCTTGGTCATCTCTTGGTTAGACTATTGCAATGTACTCTATGTGGGGCTACCCTTGAAGAGTATCCGGAAGCTACAGCTCGTTCAAAATGAAGCCGCGTGGACAATCTTGGGTGCCCCAAGGATTGCACATATAACAGTTCTGCTGCAGGAGCTGCATTGGGTGCCAGTTTGCTTCTGGGTCCAATTCAAGGTGTTGGTTATCACCTTTAAAGCCCTACATGGCATGGGTCCAGGTTACCTAAGGGACCATCTCACCCCTATCACATCAACCCGTCCCACCTGGTCAGGCAGACAGGGCATGTTGTGGATCCCGTCAGCAAGAGAATGTCGGCTGGCGGGGCCCAGGAGGAGATCCTTCTCTGCCATTACCCCCACCCTTTGGAATATTCTCCCCCCAGAGGTGCAGAGGGCCCCTACCCTCCTGGTTTTCTGGAAAGGACTTATGACCTGGCTGTGTCAGCTTGCATGGGGCAACAAGAGTTGTAATCAATCCTGGGGTTGGCTGGCGCCCTGATGACACTCCCCAAGCTGTTCAACAATTTTATCATCCCTTGGAATTTATTTATTTATTATTTAAGATTGTTTTATATTGCATTTTAATTGATTTTATCTCTTCTGTAAACTGCCCAGAGTTGCTTTTTAATGAGATGGGCGGTGATAAATTTGATATATAAACAAACAAATATTCATAAGGGATATTATTCCTTATTCTGCTCATGGAACACACTGCTTGATCAACACATAGTATTTATAAATGAAGAAAATACATATACCATTAGAATCCCAGAAAAAGCATGCTAACAAAATTTTTTATATTGATAAATTTAAATATTCTTTATGTAATCTGTATCTACTCTCCACAGACATTTCTTCTGAGAACATACATACTATATTACAATTACGCCCCACCATATGGCACTAAAGTAAGATATATAGCTGAAGTTTTTAAACTTTAGAGGATTTTTACAAAGCCCAGACTATTAAAATAATGAACACAATTTTTAATTCTTTAAATCACCTTAAAACAAAAGAACCCCAATGATATTGATCAATCTGATTTTGGCAACAGAGTAGGGTGGACATTGAGGTAAAATGCATTTGATGACATGTCAACAATGTGAACAAATATTCAGAATTATTTCTATGACAACCATGGTTATTTTTTTTAATAATAAATTCTATGTTGCATAAATGCTACGATATGATATTTCTGCATCCCATGATTAGGGGTTTATGAACATTCAATATTTACCATAGTTTTACCTTTAAACACCCACATTCAAATATACCTACTTATATTACATATTATTCACAAAACTACTACCAGAAGAGTATTTTTGTCACCCTCTAAAAACAACTACTTTCCTCTCAAGCAGTACAAACCATATCATGGAGAAAATCCATCCATACGGTCACTAAGAGCTGACACCAACTTGATGGAACAATTAAAAATAATCAAGTATAAACCATAAGGTTGATACTATGTGGAAATAAATACTATACAGAATCACAAAACGAGTTAAGAGCTAAATAATGTTCCTTTTCAGGCAATTATCCAAATACTTCATACTTTTCCAAAAGTTCTGTTTCTGGAAGTAGGGATCCTGCTGGATTCCAAAAATCAGGAGGAATCTGATAGAATCTTTTCAGACCAAAACATTTTATTAAAAGGCATAAGCTTTTGAGAGCCACAGCTACTTCATCAGATGCAATGGAGTGACCAGTCTGATATAGTTTTAAATTGGGATAAGGTGAAAAGGAAGAGAGGAAAAAGCAAAAGACAGGGTGGTTATGCAGATGCAACTTACATGTGAGACAGATTACAAGTAGCAGTAACAACTGAAATGTGTTAAAAATCCATTGTGTTCAGAGATAGTCTGAAACCTTTTGATGTATGTGAGTTCACTAGCATAATTGAACAAGAGATTACTGAAGGTCCCCCCTTCCCCAAATAGCTACTTTGAGATCTGTAATGGAGTATCTTATCTCTTTTCCATCTTGGAAAAAAGAAACTTTGCTACCATAATTGAGTGAAGTTAATCTGCATAACTAGCATCCCCATCCCAGATTAAATCCTATATCATTCTAGTCACTCCAGTGCATCTGATGAAGTGAGCTCATAAAAGCTTCTGCCTTTTAATAAAATGTGTTAGTCTGAAAAGATGTTACCAGACTCCTCCTAATTGTTTACTATTAGAGACTTCAAAATTATTTTGCTTATATCTTAAATTAATATTAGAAAAACGTACTCTATATCTAATACCATAGATGGATTAGATTGCTCTTTGTCCTGTTCATCGTTATAGAATAGAATCTTCCTGCTGCTGACCACAACATACTGGGAGAAAAAAAGAGGAAAAGAAAAGACGCTGTTAATACATATGTTCTGCTTGCTCATGACGAAAGGCATTTCTAGGACTTCAAATTTTCTGGGCACAAGAAAGGATATTTAGAAATAATGGTCAACCACAGCTCTGCATTATAAGCCTAAGCAAGCACAAGCCTTTGGGTACCCTCATTCCTTTTCCCTGCACTTCTACCTTCCACACCAAGACTAGAAACCTATGACATTGTTAATATATTGCATACTTCATTCAGACTAAGCAAAGTACAGTTTGAACATAAAGGAAAAAAGGAAGTAGCAGGCCTGAAGTCTTGTATATATGAGTAGCCACAGAAACTTTAAGCTAACCACCTGTATATTACAATGAAAGGCAAATAAAGTAATACAAAATGGTTTTATTTAGCCAAATCACATTTGGTAACACATTTATTGCATAAGTATCAAAATATTTTCACATCTGAGTTAAATAATTTCAAGTTCTGCAGAAGACAAGACAAATATAAACTGAAGATATGTTTACTAAAATTATTTTAACAGCAGAAATGATTTCATATCACAGTTTCTCTTGATTTGTTTTTCTTTATTGCAATTGTAATATTTCATATCTAAATTTGCATTTATTAATTCCCATCGTAAATACCAATTTTACTCTATGTGCACCTTAGATTCAAGTCAAAATCAGTACTTGATTTAGCGTATGAAAGGAAAGATATTGGATACCTGCTTCTTCCATCCGTAACGTTTAATATTCCCTTTGTTTGGTATTGAAAGCCAGCCCTCTATTCTTGATTCTATATAAAAACCAATATATATTGATTAACATTTTATTCACAGAGAATTATAAAGAAGAGCATTTGCTTTCATGCAGCCATTAGCAATGATCAAACAGACCAATAAAATAGCAATAAGTAAGCTTAGCTAAACAAGAACAAGGAATGAAGCATTTTTCATGCCTAATCACAAATTCATTTACCATGGCACTATTGCAGAACCTGCAAAGATGTTATAAAATTTACAACCAACACTGTTTCAATGGAAATGTTTTGACCTAGCTATACAGGATCTCAGCCAGCAACTGTTTTAGCATAATTTTTTTTTGTTAAAAAAACTATATCTAATTTCATACTGGAGTGGGAGCATTAATTCTTTTGCATAAATATACAGTAATTGAAAGCCACAATGAAAGTGCAAAAGAGCAAGCAAGAAGCACCCATTCGTCCCATTACTCACAGAAGTTAAGAACAGAAGAGAAATAAATAAGGAATGCGGGAAGAATCAGCTAGATATAAAGAATAAGAAAAAAAAAGCAATTTATTCAATTTTTAAATGACAGTTTGAGTATGATAAAATGAAAGAATATGGTTATGATGTCAGATTTAATTAAAAGTCAATTATTAGCTGGTGAAGTTCTTGATTCTCACTTATAAAAAAAAATCTCAAAACCTATATCCAAATTCAAGTCAGTATTTTAGAACCAAAGGCTCTGTGTGGTGAAGTTCTTGATTCTCACTTATAAAAAAAAATCTCAAAACCTATATCCAAATTCAAGTCAGTATTTTAGAACCAAAGGCTCTGTGTGGTGAAGTTCTTGATTCTCACTTATAAAAAAAAATCTCAAAACCTATATCCAAATTCAAGTCAGTATTTTAGAACCAAAGGCTCTGTGAAATGAAGGTGATAAAAAGTTGTATACCAAGAATAATTATTTAGGTGTATGGGTGTGTGTTAACTAGAGAGATATAAACATGAAAATTCATATACCTTTGTGGGGATAAAATCTATTTTCATTTACCATTTACCATACAAATGTATAAAATAAATAGACCAAAAAGAAAAATTAATATTTAAAAGTTGACATCTTGTCAAAACAGAATAGTACTTTTGGTGTAACAAGATGGAGAATTACAAAGACTGAGTCTCTTACCTGTAACATTTCCATCTGTTTCATCAGCCTGAAGGCTGGCAACACTAGTAGAGTCCATGCCTTGTTGCAAGTCTAAAATTTTACTGCGCAATTGTTCTATATCACTCTCCTTACTATCCAGCTGCATCTGAAGTTCATTCCTGTATGTGGACTCTTCCACAAGTTGCTGTATTCAACAGAAAATAGGGTAAACCAATCTTCCAGTATTTATATGAATTAAACTGGTAATGTAATAGTAAAGAATATTCATAAATAATTCTCCACTGTTATCACTTCCATGGAGAGTGTAGAGCATATTGTTTAAAGTTAGCGGTCCCTATTAGGAAGTGCTGGGCTGGAAAATGGACTGCTAGGCCATTGAAATAAGTCTGCATAGCATCTTACATTGCTCATATTCAAATGTTGGCTGGCTAAGCCCAGCAGAGATGACACAGGTTTCATTTTGGGAAGTTATCTGGGATTAGTCTGAGCCTATGGATCCTAACGAAGTGGAAGCTCCACCACCTATGGATTAGATCCCTGTCCTACCTGGTTAATGAAAGTTACCTTGAAAGTTATCACTTGGGTTACACCAGTGGCCTTTAAGTATGCACCATCTCCTCAAGAAATCACTGCTGAAGCTGGCTATTGTAGATAACTATTAGCCTGTCTCCAACCTTCCCTTTTTAAGGAATTTAGTTGAGAAAGAGGTGGGGCTTTCTGCAGAGGGCCCTGGATGAAACAGATTATCCAGACCCTTTTCAGTTGGGGCTGAGCATGGGATGGAAACATCATTGGTTGCTCTTGTGGATAATTTGTAATAGTCTCAATATAGGAGGACTGAAATTCCCCTGGTCCAGCTGGATATCTCAGCTGCCTTCAGTACAGTC